TTTTGTGGCGGCTGCATTGTTTTTAAGGTGCAGACCGTCGTGCAGTCTGATACAAAGGTGAATGAATTGGAATAGCGCAGCGTCCTTAAAGCGAAGTGTTGCCCGATGCTTATCAGAGTTTCCTGCTGATCAAAATTTAACATAAAGTAAATGAAAATAGAGTTTTGAAACAATCTGTCCGAGGAATTTTCCAGATTCAGGGAAAATTGAAAAAAAAACAAAAAAAACCCCCCAAAAAAAACAAACAAACAAACAAACCAACAAAAACCAAAACCCACAACAACAACCAGACAAACCAGAGAACCCTTATTACAGCTGCCTGAGAGGAGGGTGTGGAGAGCTGGGGGTGGGTCTCTTCAGCCAAGTAACAAGTGACAGGACAAGAGGAAATGGGCTCAAGTTGGGCCAAGGGAAATTTAGATTGGATATTAGGAAGAATTTCTTTACTGAGAGGGTTCTCAGGCATTGGAACGGGTTGCCCAGGACAGTGGTGGATTCTCCATCCCTGGAGATATTTAAGAGTCATGTAGACTAGACCTAGTGCTCAGGGACATGGTTCAGTTGAGGGCTTGTCAGTGTGAGGTTAATGATTGGACTCAATGATCTTAAAGGTCTTTTCCAGTCTAGGTGATTCTATGTGGTTCTGTGAAAGAACATAGTGAATAGACTTTAAAGAAGGCTTGTATTCTGTAGTGATTCATAAGCCTTGAGGAAATGTCATTTAATTTAAAATGAAAAGGGATCACTTGGAAAATGAATACAAAATGAGTAAAATTTGCACTGTGAATTGTGGATGTATTCTGTTCACTACTTTGAGGTTGGGCAGTAGAAGCAGTCTGGCTGATTTGGGTCCTGGAGCAAATATTCCAGGAAAAAGTGCATTACAACAAGCTTTGCTTCTTAGCTCAGTTAGCTCGGTTTTAAACACCGTGGCTCTCCAGCCCTGTAATACCTTGCTGACACCAAGCCGGAGTACACACTGAAATCAACCAGGAAGTGAATGCCCTTTTAGAGGGTGTAGAGTGTGGTGAAATATTGTAATAAAGACCTGCTGCCTGTGATGGAAGCCTCCTGTAACCAACCAAATACAGCATATTTATCATTTGACATCAGAAATTATAGGTGAAATGATTAATAACTACCTGTCTAGGATAGTGGTTAATAGGACTTGCTCTGCCTGCGTGCCTATGACAAGTCCAGTCCTGCCAGGGTATATTCTGAGACTTGTCCTTTTCAGTGTCCCACAATGAACCTCTCTTCAGGTTTGCATGTGACACCTAAGATTGTGTTATTGAAGATTTTCTTAAGTCCTGTGCTGTGTTTGCTCATGCTAATGCATTTAATAATGATTCTAACATTGTAAGTCTCAGTTTCAACCATCAAAAAGATCATTAGTGACAAACTGTGAGAATTTACTTAGTGATAAAACATTGTAACAGTTATTAAAGCTTTGGGTATACTGTGAAGGGCTAGTTTAGTTCAGCTCAGGCAATCACTGATGAAAGGTGATCTTGTTCCAAGAGATCTGTGAAATTCTACTCTGATATAGGACGCTGTATGCTGTGACAGATAGTAGTAGTGAAAGAACTACTGGGTCAATGTGGTTAGCGTAACAAAAGATAAAAAATCAAAAGGAATGAGCAGGAGATCCTTGTGCTGTTCAGGATGGGCAGTGTCCTTTGCCCTCCTCTTGCAAAATGTTTTTTTTAACTTAGGCTTTACTTTTTTTTTTTCTTTTTTTTTTCATTTTTCTGTCTTTTCACTACATTTCTTAAGTTATACACAAAGGCAGTCTGTAGGTAGGTTTAGATCTACCATAGCTTTTTCCCCATTGTGGTCAAGAGTTAAAATACTGTAGATTTTCCAAATATGGTCTCTTTGCACAAGTGAAAAGTATTTTTAGGTGATTAAAATTACAGACCACTTTGAATGTAAAATACTGGTACCAAGTACTTTTCTTATTAAACAGATAAAGTTTAATGTATATTAAAGGAATATTTAAAGTTTAATTATATATCTTATGAGAGATTGTATCTGGAGAGGGAAAGATGATTGCTGTTTTCATAGTTTAAATTCCTGTGTGAGGCAGTCCTTTAAGTTTATGTGGTTCTGTAATTTTGTGCATACTGGATGCATTGTAGAGGTTACAGGATACCACGTTGGCCATGAAAAATTTTCTTTTAATCTTGTAGTGATATGGAAATAATTTAAATGTTTTTAAAAAAACATTGACTGTTATTAAGCCAGGTTGCTATAATCTTTGCAAAGGTGATCAGTTATTAAAACTTTTCCTGCCTTCTTTTCAGGATTTATTTGGTGTGAGCATGGTTGTTCCTTTAATGAACCTTCATATCAAGTCTCTAGGAGCAAGTCATACAGTTGCTGGAATAATAGGTGAGTTGCAATACTTGACTGACTTACCAAAGAATAAGATAATGTGAACTGCATTATGTTTTACTGCAAATTGGACATTGTAGCCTAATTCTTCCTTGCTAGTGGCATAATAAAAAGTAAGGCAGATTTCCAAGTAAAACTGTAAGGGCAGCCATACCGTGTCAGGCCCAAAGACCCGTCCAAACTTGCATGCTGACAGTAGCCAAAAGCAGGTGCTTGGGAAAGAGCATTCTTGGAAAGAAGTCTTGCAGTAATATTTGTAGAGATGCTTTTCCAGCATCCAAGAATTCATAGCTCGGCAACTTTGGGATCCAGAGGTGTTGCTTTTAGTTTTGTTGTTATTTACGGGCTTTGCAAACAGTACTTCTGCAGCTGGTTCTCCTGAGCTTTTCCAAGCCTGTGATTGCACCCAGTTTGATTAAATTCCTTGCAGCTGTCTTTTGGCAAAATATTTATCGTCTTTAAGGAACATTTACATGTAAATTCTGAAAGTTTGAAATTTTATCTTAAAAATCAAGAGGTAAGACAAAGTTCTGTAGTTCTAAAGTTCTTATTCATATCTTACAGTTCTGCTCATGGTTTGTAATGATACAAGTATGATATTCTTTAAAGCTACGTGTGGTTGACATGGGCTCTGTTATTCAGTTTTCTTATTACCTTGCTTTTTATTTTGGATGAAATTTAGCACTTCCCATGAAATAATTCTGGTTCTGCTCTGAATTGTCAGAGTATTATTTTAAGCAGCGGTTCATCAAAAATATGTTTTCATTTCAACAGTCTGCTTTGATTTTTAACTTTAAAAGAAACTGAGATTTGAGGTGTATTCTTATAAATGAAAGAGGCTGGCAGATGTTTCTCTCTTCTCTTTGCTTTTTCTCTTCTGTTACTGACTGGTACTAAACTCTTAGCCTTCAATATGAGAGAGTAGGGTCTGTGGTTTCTTCAGGGCTTCTGTGGTGCCTTGTAACATGTTGAAGTGCCAAGTGGAAAGTATTTAGTGCCTCCCAGTAATTAAATTCTCTCCTGATTCTGAGAAAGCAATTATGAATGCCACTGTTTAATACATCGTACAAAGCAGCATCCTTCTTCATTACATAGCTGCACAAGTTCTCAGCAGAAACTATTTCCTTGGTTATGTGCTAAACTCCACCCTTGGTTTGTTCCGCTCCCTCTTCCTATTCTTCTAGGAAATTATTCCCAGAGTTTCTCTCATGTTTCCTTATTTAAAAATTTTGTGCAGTTTTCATTAAAAAAAAAAACAGTTCAGTTTTTAACATTGGTATTTTACTTGTTTGTTTTAGGATCTCTCTATGGTATAATGCAACTATTTTCCAGCACATTTGTGGTGAGTTCTAACAATGCATTCCTAATTATGTTGGTATTTCTATGGATTTTAGGGGGAAAAAAGGATGAGGTTAATAACAACAGTGTTTCTGGTATTTTGAAAATTTTTTAATTTGTTATTTGTAATTTTTAAAATGTTTATAGTGTTCATATAAGCATTTTTGGTTTGTGGATCCAGTTTTTAGCTTGTGTGGAAAATGTTTGTTTCATTTATAGCGAATTATCAAATTTTTCAGAACTAAAAAGAACACAGTCTTTAGACAAAAACTAGAATCCAGATTTGGGCTCAATCATATGTTACTGAGCACTTCTCAGTCACACAGGGTTCTCTTCAGTGTTGGTGCTAGTAAAGCAGTTTTCTTCAAGGCAGTAGCCTGTCCGAAATGCAGTTTCATGAGTC